CATCGGGCGAACGTCCGGCTGGCGGCGGCGAACATCCCGCTCTGGTAGCAGCAGCGCCGCAAGGAAAGCCCAGGACGTCAGAACAAGTCCGCGGACCAACGGTGCCTCGCATGTTTGGGGATGCCATGATGGCCGTGTTACGGTGTACGTATAGCATATCAACCGAAGTCGAAAAGAATTGTGCAACAATTGAACTGTGCGTCGTCGAAACGAGTCGTAATTACCGTCACGGAAGAGGTGTTCAAGGATGACAACACATACGACGAGCCGAGGAAGCCATAGCTCCTGATGTGATCAGGGCCTTCGACCTGCGCGCACGGGCGCACGTTCTCAGCAAGGCGTCGGTTGAATCACACACCCCAGCATATGCAACAGAACAACACGATGACATCGAGAAAGGATAGGTCATCGTATCAATTGGGATCACTCTCCCTGAAGTCCTCGCTCGTCTCCTCAATGCAAGCAACCAGTCGCCGAAGTATGGTATGTGAGTAGCGCGTACTGCCCTGAGCCGCGGGACTTGGAAGCAGCCCGCGGCGGAGACCATGTGAGTCGACCGACGCTGAGACCGACCACGCTAAAGTCGAATCTGCAGAAGAAGTCTTCAGTCCAGAGTTTGGCGGTATGTCGTCTTTCGTCCGGCCACCGTTGTGGGCTGCGCGCGCCTCGAGCCTGAGATGCCCAACGGACCCAGACGGACGAGATGTCGGTTCGAGTGTCATCGTTGTCACGCGTCCGGGCTCCGATCGACAAGCGTCCGTACGAACGGACGCAGGCCAGGCTAGCAAGACCCGCGGGTACGTCCGGAAACCCGGGACGTATGTCGTCGACCGACTGGCGAGTTCTTCACCCGTCGCGCGGAACGTTGGGTTCGCCGACGCCAGTGTGAGCATGCCTCGGAACAGCCGAGCCAGGTGCGCAGCTCTGCCTCACTGCGCAATTGCAAATTCATCGACTGCGCATTCACCCGACACGGCGAGGAGACTCGGAAGGTGGCTGACACTGCCATGCCTGAGCGCACCGCGCGAGGGGCGGTCTTGGGACTTGTCCGCGGTTGTTCAAATTGAAGACGAGGCTTGCGTCGCGCCGTGGAAAGGGCTTGCGTCGCCGGCTTCAAGCCCCGTTGAGATGCGCCTGCATGATACGGTGTGCATCGAGCCTGCGTCGTGGGATGTGTGGTTCGACGCGTGAGCACGGGTCGTGGGTCATCGACACGTGGACCACGTTCCAGTCGAGTAACGGAGGCTCTGTGCCACGGCTCGAGTGAGATCCGGTCGAGACGGGAGAGTGCATCGAGCGTCTTGCGTTTGTGTCCACACCGAGCACCTCCCAGTGTAGTGAGAAGCGTGGTAAAGGATCCCTAGAAACATCTCTCTGGGTCGTACATGTGCAGCTTGGGCGGATCCCGATTGACCTTGCGCGAGAAGTGGGTCACCGAGGGTGTGAGCGGCCAGGACGGACCTGGAACGTGTACCGGCACTCCAGCTGCGTCAGTCCTTGCTCTTCATCCTCGAGCGAACAGCGTCAGATACCTATCTGCGAAGATGTCCCCGAGGGCACTAAACGGCATGAACCAGGCGCGCCGGAAGGCAACTCGAGCGTCGTGGCATCCAAGGCGGCCGGCGGAACCAAGCCGCGTTCGCATTCATCAGGGGGCAGCGCGACGCGGCACGGCAGCATTACAGGCCTGGAGAGGATAACGTCCGGCGGTACGTCCTGGGCAAACAAAGAATAAGCTGCATGGACACAGGAGATGTGGCTGGCTTACCGAGCAGTACTCGTCGTCACCGGTACCGTCGTGAGAGTCGTTGCCAGTAGTCACTAGGCTCAGCCACTTTCTCGGCCACAGGCCTTGTCGAGTGAGAAGCGTCTTTGTGGCGTGACCGCGTCGGCGCGTTCAGACGCGCAGGCGGCGGCGCCACCGGAAATGATTAATGAACACCAGCATTGCGCGGTGACAGCGCCTCCGAGGTTGGGAGACCGCCATGAACGCCGTCCAACAAAGACCCCGCGCGTGTCCTTTCCAGCTCGCCCACCGCGCCGCCGACTCGCAGGCTGAGTACGCCGTCCGCGCCCGCCGCAACGAGCACCCACTCGTCTGCGTGAAGCGCAGAATACATTCACGGGGGATCTCCTACTACGACAAAGACCATAAATGGTCGGTACGCACACTGCAGAACGGCAGTGCGGACACGTGCGGTTCTGAATACACGTCCGATCGCGAGGTTGCAGTTCTATGCCGTGCGACGAGAGCTGCGGAACGGCGGCGCAGGGCAGGAGCGTCCTTCGCCAGCGGTGGATCCATAGCGATCGGGGAACGTTGCTGGTCGATGAACCACGCGTTCTCTCACCTCGGCCTAGGGGTCCGACGATGGCCATAGGACGTGTACGAGACCGGCAAAGGGGGAGCGCGATATGTCCGCTGCGTTGCCTCGAAGGGATGCTCGCCGGGCGTCGCATACATGGTGAGGATCGTTAAGCGGAGGCCAACCGTCAATGCCTAGCGATACCTTCGAGTGGCGTACGAGACCGGTATATGCGTGGTGGGGGATAGGTCACCAGGTGCAGGGTGATGAAAGACGAAGGAACCACGGTAGCAGTCGTTGACGGGAGATTAGACGGCATTAGAGCAAGATTACGAGATTGGGGGTACAATACCGGTTGTCGGCCTGGATGTTTGACGGCCAGCACAACCAGAGCGAACGAGAAGTAGTCTGCGCTGCAGCATCGTGACCAGTGCAGCCAGCTGGGAGTGAAGAGATACGTTGCCTGTTCGCGCTCGCTTGATGGTCAGACCGCGATCAACCGCCACGGAGCCTGATGCGTCACCCCTGCCGTGTCCAACTAAAGGAGCAAACGTGCGGCCTTGACCGTACAATCCCAGATGCACCACGTTCACCCACAGATGGTGTCCGTGACGCACAGGAGAGTCGTATCCCGCTCCGCGAGCAATGCGCGGACTGCCGAGGCTCCGAAGATGCAGCGCGGAATCTTACAACCACACGTTGTTCTTCCTGCGAGAGCATCGGAGGCCAGGGATGTTGTGAAGGCTGGGCATATACGTAGATGCAATCAGTAGTACGGGCCATGTAGATGCGAGGATCCACGGTAGCGAAGGGTAGATGGATCGGTCGGTATCGATGACCCGTCAGACGAGTACGAGAGCTCGAGGAGAACGCGAGGTTGCAGGGAGGCGGCGGCATCGCGGTATACAAGTACCAGCGCGCCACCGGAGACGGGGGAGTGGGGAGGGAGGAGAATCGAGAACTCACCCATTAGCCCGCTGAGGTGCTACCGTAGCAGACCCTCCGGAGGTGCGTAGCTAACCCAAACTCACGCAGTGGTGCTGCGTGCACGATAGGTGACCTCCGGGGAGCTTTTGAGTATGAATGGAAAAGGAGCATGCGTACATCTCACCGAGAAACCGTGTCCGTGGGGATTACGCCTCCATTGTCCGAAGATGACGGACGACCTCGTGCCTTCCAATGTTGTGGCGGTGGACGCGCTTGCAGCCTTGGGATACATGATACATAGACCTGCTCGCAGCGCGAATCTGACGAGCATGCTTCAAGTTGTATCTCATCAAACTCGAACGCAGGCTCAACAGAACCGACTCGAGACTCACCGGAACGACCCTGGTTGCCCTACAAGCCTCCAAGTACGTGAATTGCCCCCGAAGTTTGCGACTACACTGAAGCGCTGTTATTGGATCGAAGATCGTATGAGCAGACTGGAGGTGGAGAGGTGAGGATACGCGGGCATCGAGCACGCCAGCGGAGGACAGGGTCCGGAATGCAACGACTGGAAACGGTATGAGCCTGCACACTCTGTCGACATGGAAAGGACTGAGTACTAACCGATAATCAACCATGGAGCCTTTTCTCGCGTCGCACTGAGGAGGCCTCTGTGCGTACGCCGTGGATCAGACCTTCGGACTGCAGGAACACGCGTATGATATGACCTTCAGGGGAACGGCGGTGCACGGCCTGCCAGAGGGCGGGCATGCATGAGACGCGGTGGGTGGTTCGGCGTTGCAGGTTGGCGGGCCAGTGAGCTCTGTTTGGGAGCGGACGACGGCGAGACGAGGGAGGTCAGACTCACTGATGCGGTCCTCGTCGGCGGTCACGCTCGGGCCGCCCCCGCCACACGCGCGCTTCTGCACGAGTCGAGGTCGCCGACTCACCGCCACACTGCTTGTCGACACCCGCCACGGCGTGCGCGTGAGGGCAGTAATTGTGGTGGGCCTGTGCATCACCTCCGAGTCTGCCCTCGTACTCATCGGCACTGTATCTTGAGCTCACACATCATCTATCGTATCCCTACTCTACGCTTGTCATCGAGCTCCTACCGCTGTTGCCAATTCACAGCATCGTCCAAAACCCGTCTAAACGGCATCTGCGCGACGTGTTACTTAGTCTGACACCTCTACACTCACCCGAGTCCTATCTGAGAACGTCGGAGGACGTTCTGCATATCAACCGTGGAGGTATATTTCTCATCAACGTGTATGGGCAACGTCATATAACGACCTGATGGTCTAGGGAAGTACCGGTTCATGGCTGAGAGCGTTGACGGTGAAGACAGGCTGTTGGAAGGCCACGCTTTGGAAGTGCAGAAGTGCTTCAGACCACCCATCTACTCATGGTATGCCCTTCGTTTCTTTTGGTACCAGCTGCTTGAATAACATATTGAGTCACCGCGCGACCACAGTGATACATATCCGCAATTTCCGCAGGAACTGATTGATCTTATCTGCGAGTTCCTGCGGCTGGATCCTTTCACGTTAACGAGGTGCTGCCTCGTTTGCCACGCTTGGTATCAGGCTGCGCGGCACCTCTTCTGGCACGAAATGCTCTGGCTGTTCAGCCGTGAGGCCTTGGACGACTTCGCGCACACGCTCATCTCAAAAGGCAACCGATCGTACGGCAAGAACTTTGATAATCTGCATATATGGGAGGACTCTCGACGGCCGATTGCGCACATCTGGCCGATGCGCATCCCCGGATATCTTCTGCCACGGGCGAAGGTGCTAGAGCTGTGCAACTTCGACTGGGCCGCGACCAGACCACACGACCTTTTCTTTCACTTCCTCTCGTACTACACCAGCATCACCACTCTGGAAATCAAGCAGAGCCGTTTTCGCAACGCAACGGAACTCCGTAGGATTTTCAACGCACTTCCGAGCCTCGAACACCTCGTTCTCCATGGCGTCACGCTGCAGCACCCGCTCATGCCGGGATCTATGCCCAGCTCCGTTTCTTCGCGGCGCAACAAGCTCACGACACTCCGTTTTTGGAACGAGGCTGACGTGCCCGCGGAGTGGGACGCTCACAAGCAGGAAAACAGCCGATCTTTGTTGGACGTATGCGCCGCATACTCATCTGTAGTCGACCTAGCTCTGGACCTGCGCTACTACTCCTCGCTTTCCCATCTCCATCAGTATCTCAGTCATTTCCCCAAACTATCCTGCTTGCGGCTACAGGATGCGATCAGCCCGCATGTCGAACCCGCGACGGCAGCAGACACGGCCCCGGTGTACTCAGTCGACGCACCCGCTCTCTCGCTCTCGACTTTCGAACTCTCTGACGTACCCATGCCCTGGGCGTCGCAGGTTTTGGAGCTGGTATCGACCCAGCGAGCGTGTAGCCACCTGGGCGACCTGCTGTTCGCATTCAGGGATAGCAGCCCGTCTGCGGAGCTTGCAGCCCGCATTACGGAGGTGCTGCGTCTCACTGGAGCCGGCCTCAAGACGCTCCGGTGGAGAGGCGATCTTACTGAAGGTAAGAGACCTCACACGCTTGTCGTTTCACTTGTGATCGCTCATTGAGGCTGCTGTAGACGAAATGCACAAGGGCTTTCCGCAGCTTGGAGCAAGCACATCGCTGACAGGACTAGTGGTGGAGTTCCGCCGCGTCAGTTCGTCGCTGCCGAGGATCCAGGGGGTTCTGAGCACCTTGTTGACTGACATTCAAAGCCCACATCTGGAGCGCCTCCACATCACGATTTACCTGTCCCACTACGAGACTTCTCTAGAGGGAAGCGAGCCCGCCGAGACAGCCCCTCCTCCGGCTAACTCTATCCTCACTTTCCACGGCATCCTCTCTCGCAGCGTTTACGACAATCTTCCGGTGTCTGCTGCCGCGGCCGATGCCAGCCAGTCGTACGCGGATGTATGCATCGAACTCGTGATGGAGGGATCGCAGCAAAGCGCTGCCGGGATGTCTACGATCAAAACATACGTCATCGCGCTGTTCGCGCCGTGGCTGGATCGCGGGGTCTTGCAGCTCCGCGTCTTTCCCGATCCTGACGGCGAATGGTCCGTCACTCATGTTCCCTCATCGGTACTCTCTGGTGAGTGTCTATTTCCATCGTCCGTGGATGCGACTCGGATCTGTTCGGTACGCTCACGCGCTCGACCAGAGACGCACGTCAGTATCACGGAAGTATGGGACTCGGACGACAATGAACACGGAGGCGAGCGCGATGTCAGCGGAGATGCAGAGATAGAAGATGCAAAGGTATCTGTAGCATAGACGGTGTGCTTATTTTGCAGGACCGACCGTCGTTATCCTAGACCTCCACACAATGATACCATTGGAACGTGCTGCCAAGATCAGCCCTCGGACGACGCGATTGAGTCTAAGCCCGGGTCCTCGAATTGTACGACGCAACACGTCGAAGCAGCGGTGTCTACTAGTAGATCACGAGCACGGAACGCGTCCGCGGCGCCGTTCAGCTCTAAGGGAGCTTTTTCCTGAAGAGCGTCACGTGTATACACCTGTTGTCAAAGTGGTCGCTTGATTGTGCGAGTCCGACTGCGATGGGAGCTTGTTGTATGAAGTGAGTTCGTATCGTTAAACTTACAACATGACTTCCGAGACTTACTTCTTTGTTCTCGCCACGCATTCGAAGTTCAGATACACACATCTGCGTCACCCCATCGGTAACGCGCTCTCGGGGCAGGACGGAGGATGTCAGTGATGCGGTCCTCGTCGGCGGTCACGCCGCCCCGCCCCCGCCACGTACAGCGGGCTCTTCGGTCTCGTTTGGCTTATAGCGGGTGATACTTGCGTGGCAGGGCATTGCATTGTCGTGCTAGAGCTGGCCTGCGTCTATTGTCTACGCAATCACTGAATTGATCGCAGTGCGCGTCTAGAAACCGACAGAAACTCAGTCTGCGCAAGCACGCAGTGAAAATGATGCGCGAATGCTTCAGCGGGGCGTGAGTGGTGATCACATTGGTAACCGTCAATTTACCATGTCGGGTAGAGTTTATTCTTTGAAAGACAGCACGACCGTGTGCGGAGACTGTGGGAGGCAACTGCATAAATTGAACGTTTGTGGGCCAAATGTGGGCGGTTGTGGGACGCGATGGTCTCGTACCGACGCTTCTCGCTCGACTCGGGTTCGACGGTAGCTTGCGTATATGCGGTCCGAAGTAACAGCAGGCGGTGCGACGACGCAGAAACATACGTGACGTTTTCCGGAGAGCAAGCAAGCACTCTCGGAGTGGCCAAGAGGCAGACTGGAGAGCAAGATCGCACAGAATAAGTAGGATGAGTTTGAGACATTCACAACAAGGCTTACAAGTCCAAGATCGTAGTTGTTCCGTACTCATCAAACAGATGGCATACACCCAAGCCACGTTGACCCTCCGAGTATCGCCGGAGCGGTGATGAGTAGATCTGTGTACCGGGCGAAAGTGACCAATTCGGGCGCGGAAGCACACATCTCCACACTCTATCATTACGTTGTTGCGTCCGACCACGATACTGATGCACCCCGGAATACCCGCATCTGTCGAAAGATGTCCGCGTTGCGGCCCCGAATAGGTGCGTCACATCTAGGACGCCGGAAGTAAAGACAGGGGCTATGAGGCCGCGGAAGCGAGTCGGAAGCAGAGACATGGTGCGCGAGAGTCCCCATCTGGGCGATGCCGTTGCGGTGTGATGAAGGACGAGGGGGACGAGGAGAAGGAAGAGGGCGAGCGAGACCGCTCGGGGCGCGTCTGTCTGAACCGGCGCGCACGCGGCCGCGGCGACTCATACCTGCGCGGAGTTGCGTCGCGTCTTGGCTGCCGCCACCTCCCACCCGTCCGTTATACTTATAGCAAACAAGCTCTGTCCACCTCATTCTTCCATCTCTTCGCCATGGCCACAGTCAAAGTCACGAAAGTCTGCTGCAGTGCGTACGCCGCGTCCTGCTCGTCGTGCTCACACTGACCAGCTGTTCTCGCGGGATAGTCGGCGCCGGATATGTCGGTACGCGGAAGCTTCTCCGTGTGAGCCGTGCACTCTTCTCAACGCGCTCTCTCTAGGTGGCCCTACGTGCGCCGTCATCGCGCTGAAATGCCCGCACATCCAAGTCACCATCGTCGACCTCAACCAGGCGCGTATAGACGGGTGGAACAGCCCCGACTTCGACCTCCCCATCTATGAGCCCGGCCTCGTCGACGTGGTCAAGCAGGCCCGCGGGCGCAACCTGTTCTTCTCGACTGACGTCGACAAGGGCATCCAGGAGGCAGACCTCATCTTCGTCAGTGTCAACACACCCACGAAGAAGAGCGGTGTCGGAGCGGGATTCGCGGCAGACCTGAAGTGCGTACACTCCCTTTGGTCCTCTATGCACGCAGGGCGCGTTGCACATTATCATTATCACCGCATATATGCGTCTTGGGGATGCTTCGGCGGGTGCTCGGGGCTGCCCCGCATCCACCCCCTGAGGTGCATCTCTACGCGGGCGTGCCTCTTACGTCCCAGCGGCGAAATGTCTGCGTAAATCGTACGATGTTCTCCGTGGCCGCCCGCACATTTCGAGCACTAGTGTATCGGCCAGCGCCAGCTGCCTGTTATGCTCGCCCCTGGTGTCGGAGGTTGTAATGACGCAGGTTCTCGAGTGGCCTGGGTTGCACATTTAGCCCGCTCTCAGGTGCGGTGGCTCGCACTAGGCAGAAGCAGGCCTTTCCAGTACTGTCTGTGTCTGGATGTTAAATGACAGCCTTCGCCTCAGCGGACCCTATCGTGCCGCAGACTTTTCCACATGCCGTGGGCATAGTTCGGGTGTCCGTCTGCGGCCAGGTTTGACATGGTGGCGGTCATTCGTCTTCGCGGCGCATATACGCAGAGAATGCAGAGAATGCAGGGTATGCAGTCCGAACGGTGATGTTATTAGCAGGAACACTTGACGAGGGCCTCGCTCCGACAGGAAAATGTGTAGCGTGTGATACATTTATTGGTTTTCTGCCTGACCAATCCGAATTTTCTTCAACGGATTGTACTCGCATGCTGACATTGTAGAATAGCTATGTCGAGCTCGCTACACGACGCATCGCAGCTGTCGCGCACTCTTCCAAGATTGTCGTCGAGAAGTCGACCGTGCCCTGCCGGACCGCCGAGTCGATGCGCACCATTCTCGAGGCCAACTCGCGCCCGGGCTGCCGGTTCGACATCCTCTCGAACCCCGAGTTCCTCGCAGAGGGCACCGCGATCAGCGACCTCTTCAAGCCCGACCGCGTACTCATTGGCTCACTGCAATCGCCCGAGGGTAGGGGCGCGTGCGAGGCGCTCGCGGAGGTCTACGCGAACTGGGTGCCGAAGGAGCGCATCCTCACCGTCGGCCTGTGGTCCTCGGAGCTCTCGAAGCTCGCCGCGAACGCGATGCTCGCGCAGCGCATCTCGTCGATCAACGCGCTGTCCGCGATCTGCGAGGCGACGGGCGCGAACATCGACGAGGTCGCGCATGCGATCGGGTTCGACTCGCGCATCGGGCCGAAGTTCCTGCGCGCGTCGGTCGGGTTCGGAGGGTCGTGCTTCCAGAAGGACATCTTGAACTTGGTGTATTTGAGCGAGAGCTTGCACTTGCCCCAGGTCGCGGCGTATTGGCGCCAGGTCGTCGAGATGAACGAGCACCAGAAGAGTCGGTTCTCGAAGACCGTTGTGGATACGCTGTTCAACACCATCACCGGCAAGGTGCGTGCGTCGTAGGAGGTTCAGCTATGTTGATGCTTACAGGTCCCATAGCACATCGCCGTCCTTGGGTTCGCGTTCAAGGCGGACACTGGTGACACGCGCGAGTCGCCGGCCATCTCGCTCGTCCGCGACTTCCTTTCGGAGCGCGCCTACGTGACCATCTACGACCCGAAGGTCGAGGACGCGCAGATCTGGCTTGACCTCGCCGAGGCGTGCCCACTCGTGCCCTTGGAAAACAGTATGTTCTTGTCCAATGGTGATGCCAAACGTGGTACTGACGCAGATGCATGTGTTCCCAGTCAAGAAGCAAGTTACCATCGCCCGCTCCTCGCTCGAGGCGTGCAAGAACAAGGAGGCGATCGTCATCGCCACCGAGTGGAAGGAGTTCCGCGAGATCGACTGGGAGACGGTCTACGCCCATATGAACAAGCCCGCGTTCGTGTTCGACGGGCGCATGATCATCGACGCGGATGCGCTCAAGAAAATTGGCTTCAAGGTATGTTCGCGTCCTTCATGACTGTAAACTTGGCTGACGTGTTTGGTGCAGGTCAAGATTATCGGCCGTGGTGACAGGCTGTGATAGACGTCGCATTGTAGACGTATTTATTGTCATTGAACGTGGCGCGTTAGAGCATGTGCAAGTAATGGCCGGGATAACGGATACCAATAGCCTACATTGTGGATTGTAAATCAGACAAGGTCTTCGGGAGTTTCAATGCGATTGTTGTATAACTGCAATCTTGCGACGAGGCTGTCGAAACGAAGTCTACTTGAAGAGCAACTGGGTCAAATTTGAGCTGTAGCTTGGCTGTAGTAAGTTACCAGTAGTAGCAGCGGTGAAGTATCTAATTAGCTAACTCCTATTAGCGGCTCTTACGTAATCGAGGGCGCGCCCTTTCCCTGGCGCCTGGGATGAGCTCAGTCTCGATCGACGACCACAGCGTGCTTAGAACCAGCCTACACGACGATCTCCAACATGCCCCTAGCGAGCACCAGCGGCACGAACGACGTCTGGGAACAGTCTCAGGTAGGCCTCTGTGTTGGCAGATGCGTCGAATGACTAGAAATTTAATATTAGCCAGATACATCCTCTGCCGCGCACCGCGTGAAAGCTAGAGCTCCTGCCGCGGTCGTTCGCGACTCTTGGGATGACGACGACGATGACGGGGTGGAGGAAGAGGAGAACTCTCAGGCGCTATGGGAGAACGCGTGAGTCTCGTCGTATGTTGTGAAACCGCACCGTGTGGCTAAATCGGTGGAATTGTATCCTCAGTAACCGAAAGGCACCTATGCCCGAGCTAGTCGTCTCCGGGTCGGGCAATAGTACAGTTCTGCCACCACCCCTGCAGCGTTCCAGCCCACACTGAAGATTCTCAAACGACCGACTGGCGCATCCTCGTCTGCTGCGGCGTCACCACCGTCTGTCGACCTGCAGAAGTCGTTCGCGGAAAGGGAGGCGCAGTATCAGGCTGCGCGGCAGCGTATATTCAACGACGGCCCGCGACAGAGTGGACGAAATGGTCTGTCCACCGAAGTGGGGCGGGATACCAATGCGATGTCGCAGTCTCCACCGGCCGCGGACGTGAGCGTGAAGGTACTTCGGGCCCCTCGAGGGCCGTCGACGGATCCTGCCGCCTCGTCGACCAACTCCAAGCCGTCACGAGGATTCGCGGGGAAGCGGGGAGGGCGCGGTGCACCACGCGGGTAATATGCCCTTTCCTACGCGTTACAGGGGAGCAAGGCCGGTCAGAGGGCTGCTCATCATGGATATGTCGTCGTTGTGGCGGTTGCTGTGTAGGTAGGGAACATGTGCTGCTGTTCGGATCATTGTTGTGTCTCGTAGCTTTTCCATTTTTGCTCTGGTCATGAATCCTATCTTGCAGATCAAGCATGCTGGAATCATCAGAGCTGTGCGCTCGTCGGCGCCGTCTTGGTGATGGCAGTACATGTCGCATTATAATACGCACCATAGCATAGAAGAGTTGAAACACCGCCACAATGCTATCAACGGGGAGCGCCCGAGGCTAGAAGGGTATCGTGGGGAAATAAGTTCTTCGCGCGCCAGACGGTTGCGGTCGTGGGGCGCGTTCATCTTGCTCAGGCACCACCACCATCTCCGTCCCTCCCCGTGAAAAGAGGTTTCGTCGTCCAGCGCGGTCCACGGCCATGCCATCACGACCCTCGCCCATGGCCTTGCAGAGTTCGTCGCCGCAGCCGTCGATTTTCAGGAAGAAGTCGACCCCCGCCATGTCCACTGCCGCCTCCTACCTCTCCGCTGTCTCCGAGGCCGACGCCCGCGCCCGCGCCCACGGGGGCTCGCCCAACTCGACCCCCGCCCTCTCCCTGTCGAGCTCCGTCACGACGAGCAGCTCCGACACGGTTCTGGAAGATCCCGGCGCCGAATTCGAAGATGCGCTGTCGTACCCGCGCAACCCGCCCACCAGCGAGCAGGTCTTCACGACGGTGCACTCCGAGTTTGGCCACTGCGCCAACGAGAGCTATCGCTATACCAGTCAGCACAAGACCGGCACGCCCTACCGCAGCTACCCCGAGCAGGACCCGCCCTACTATATCCTCCTCACTACATACCTCAGCTACCTCATGGTTATCTGCCTCGGGCACCTGCGCGACTTCGTTGGCAAGCGCTTCAGGAGGTCTGCGTACAGGCATCTCCTAGCACACGATGTGAGTGTACTTCTGTTCTTTCCGTGTATGGCTGCTGGGAAGCTACCCATGGGGAAGAGTCCCATGTAACCTGGCAGAGGGTCATGTGGGCTCCTCCCGATCCTCGATGGCGTCGACCTTGCGCAATTTCAATCTGCGGCCCCTAGTAGCTTGTACACGGATTCTCAGCCGTAATTGTTCGCCAGGCTGTGATGCTGACATTGTGCACGTAGGGTTACGCAGCGCTCAACTCCGACTTCGACTCCTTTTATACCCGGCGGCTCAAGACCCGCATTGACGACTGCTTCTCGCACCCTGTCACCGGTGTTCCCGGGCGGACGATCATGCTGCTCGACCGCTACTCACCAGACTACAATGTCACCATGTTCCCGAGCGGCACACGCACGCGCGGGCTGAACATCTCCTCTTACAACTATCTCGGTTTCGCTCAGGCCCGCGGTGGGTGCGCCGACGCGGTGGAGGCGTGCATCAACCGGTACGGTGTTTCACCGTGCGGGACGCGTCTCGAGGGTGGTTCGCTGGATCTGCACGCACAAGCGGAGGGACTCGTCGCACGGTTTATCGGACAGGAGGACTCGATGATATGCAGCATGGGCTTCGCGACGAACTCGACGGTCATCCCCGCCTCGTCGGCAAAGGCAGCCTTGTCATCTCGGACGAGTTCAACCACGCATCGATCCGGTGGGGCGTGCGTGTGAGCGGCGCGAACGTGCGGACGTTCAAGCATAATAACATGAAGTCGCTCGAGAACCTGCTGCGGGAGGTGATCAGCCAGGGTCAGCCGAAGACGCACCGACCGTGGAAGAAGATCCTCGTTATCGTGGAGGGGCTATTCTCGATGGAGGGCACGCTTGCGAACCTTCCGGTGATCATGGAGCTCAAGAAGAAGTACAAGGTGCGTCTTAAACCCTTGATCACTCACACGAAGCTGACCTCCGCTCCTTCGCAGTTCTATCTCTTCGTAGACGAGGCACACTCCATCGGCGCTCTCGGCCCGCACGGTCGCGGTGTGCGGACTACTTCGGTATCAACCCGCGGAACATCGACATCCTCATGGGCACGTTCACGAAGTCGTTCGGTGCGGCTGGAGGATACATCGCTGGCTCGAAGGCGCTCGTTGACAGGCTGCGTCTCCGCGCGCACACGGGGACGTACACGGAGGCGATGACCCCGCCGGTGCTCATGCAAGTTATCGCGTCTATGGCCAGCATCATGGGTATCTCGCCCACCCCGTCTTCGGGCGCCGCGGCGCTGGAGGTCGCGGAGCTCGAGCGGCACCCAGGTAATGCGCCGATGTCGATCCTCCCGTCGTGGATGCCGCTCTCGCCGACGATGGTCGACGGCTCGGACGGGCGGATGCGTCTGCGGCGGATCGCGTTCAATTCGCGGTACCTCAACCGGGGCCTGCGCAAGCTCGGGTTCATCACGTACGGATGCGCCGACTCGCCGGTGATCCCGCTGCTGCTGTTCAACCCGGGCAAGATGGCGGTGTTCAGCCGGATGATGCGCACGCGCGCGGTGCCGATCGTCGTCGTCGTGGTCGCGTACCCGCGACGCCGCTCGTGACGTCGCGTGTGCGGTTCTGCGTGAGCTCGGCGCACACGAAGGAGGACATGGACATGGTGCTCACCGCGTGCGACGAGATCGGCGATTTGCTCGACCTCAAGCAGGGCCAGGGCGAGCGCTGGCCGCTGCAGGAGATCTTGGACAGGGCGGTCGAGCTGGTGAACGTGTCGGAGGAGTCATAGATGAGGCCTGAGGACGTAATGTACGGAACGATAATGCTTTGCGGGCTGTTGTAATTAGTCTGACCGTTACTTCTCGTGTAATTACCCACTACGGCCTATGCTGGGTGTTTGCGTGTATATTTCTTCTATCGCGGAGATGATTTCCATGTGAGAGGCTCTCCTGTTGAACGTCGGGACGCGAGGTGCAGACATATTCGGTTCAATTCTTATACCACCCGTGTCACTTGCGTCCTATGCATAGGAGGCTGTTGAATGTGCGTTTGCTTTGGACTATGTATTGTCCGGTTAGTAGTGCGCCTCCGTTTATCTATATAGACATCGAGTATCTACGAGGGCCTTGTTTTGAATGTATTGACCTCGAGCTACAGCACTGTTACGTGCTTTCCTTGTGAAGAACATAGGAGGCACCTGGCGACTCGCTCACCCTACCTGAGCAGTTATCTAACTCACGCACAACAATAATCCCGCCAAAACATGCGCATTCGCAGAAGTATACAACGTGCTAGCAGTACAAGGACAGCAACCCTCAGTTTCCAGCAGAGCGAGAGATAACAATCTGTTCCAGTCGAGTGCGCACTCAAAGGCCGGCAGCCGTTTTGAGCGCGTCGAAGTTCGGTGTCCCGAGACCGGTGACCTATGATGCGAAACATGGTCAGCAGCGCCGCGAGGGGAGGGGAGACCGAAAGCTCACTGGGTCCCAACCAGCCGCCGCGGGGAAACCGTCCGTGTCGCAGCCCGGGTTCGAGCCGGTCGTGACGTCGTTCAGCGCGCTGGTCGCGTTGCTGTAGAGCCAGATGTTGAGGAACCCGAGCGGGCTCTTGCCCGCGGTGGTGAGCTGGTCGTTGAGGAGCGAGACGACGCTGGCGAAGACGGGGCTCGCGGCGCTCGTGCCGTCGACGCCGCCCGCCTGGCCGTCGACGACGATCTCGAACTGCACGCCCTGCGTGGACACGTCGGGGTACGCGCGCCCGGACGTGTTGAACAGGCCCGCGTTCGTCTGCCCGAGCGTCTTGAGGTAGGTGGCGACGGCGGTCTGCTGATACGCGGGCGTGCTGAAGACGTTGGAGAACCCGCCGGCTGAGAAGTTCGCGGCGGTCTCGGGGCTGATGCCTTGCGTGGCACCGACGGAGGTCATGCTGACGGAAGGTGAGGCGCGATGATTGGCAGGCGATGCGAATTATCACTTACTAGGGGCAGCCGGAAGGGAAGGTCGGTATGAAGTCCGTGCACTGCTGCGACTGCGAGCCGGACACACCACCGTCACCGGACGCGAAGAGGACGGAGACACCGCGAGCGCCGAGTTGGGCGTAAGCGTTGCAAAGATTCCTGCACGACGTCTAGTGAGCATATGATTGACAGATGGCGCGGTCAGACATACTCCGCCATGGCAACGGGGATGTCCTGCTCGTCGTTGCCGTAGCTGGTCGTGAACACGGAGGGAGGCGCATCCTCATTGAGCAGGAAGTTCGCGATGTCGAGGAAGCCGCCGAGATCGCCGTCGCTGGTCTGCTCGCCAACGGATATGAAGGTGACCGGGACGCCCGTCGCAACGCCGACGGTGTACTGGATATCCAAGTTCTGCAGAGGTGACACTGCTCAGTACAATGCAACAGCGCAACGCTCGGGCCGCGACGTACAGCTTCCGTGCCAGCATTGGCAGCGACTTGCGAGTTCTGGCCGCCATCGAGGGTCTGCAGGGTGAAGGTCGTGTCGCTCGACACGTCAGTGCGGAGGTTCGTGAGGAATGTCTGCAGCACTGTTAGCTTCCGCTGGTATGAGACGGATTACGGCCCATACCTGGAGATCCTTCTGGTTCGCGAACTGCTCGATGAACCCGCTCACGCCGAGCGCGTTACTTTGGTTTGTAGCCGGCGTGGTTGGGATGCCATAGAGGTCTTGCAGGCAAGTCGGCGTGATGACCGTGTCGCAGGACGCCGCAACCGCGGCACCGCCGGCACCAGTAACGTTAGATGCACCTGCACCTGCACCTGCGCCTTTACCTGCGCCTGCGCCTGCACCTTTACCTGCGCCCGCACCAGCACCTGCGCCCGCACCTGCACCTGCACCTGCACCTGCACCAGCACCAGCACCGGCGCCCTTGCCCTTGCCCTTCGCCTTCGCCTTGTGACGCTTGTCCAAAGGCTTCGATTTGCTGACGACAGGCATAAGAGCCTTGTTGCTCGGGAACCTAGCAGCGGCGTAATATGTGAGCGCGCGGGCGGGCCTGCGGCGGAGGGCTCTTACGTGACGGTCGGGTAGACGACCTTGAGATGATCCACCAGTGAGGCGGGGACGGAGTATGACATGGTCCGAATGGCCTGTTGCCCCGTAGTCTCGTGCGTGAAGACGGAGAAGTTGGCATCGAAGAGAGAGTTCGCCTGCGCGACGGAGACGTTGACACTCATCCAGTCACCCGCGGGGGTGATGGTGTTCGCGGTCAGGTTGTTCTTGGCGAGCCAGTTGTTGATGGCTGCGGACGTCTCGTTGGTAGGAGCGACAAACGCTGCGGCCTGGCAAGACATTCAATGAATCCGACGAAATTGACGCGACGGCATAACGGCTCACCTCCTCTTTCGTAAGGTGATTGCCGTAATTCGCGCTCGCTGGATCGCTGACGTCGTAGAGAGCGGCCTCGAGACCTTGCGGATCGCTCTGAGCAAGCGCGAACTTCAGAGACAGCATCGTCTCGCCCGCAGCCGCGCTCGTCCATGAATAGCCCGCTGGGGGGCTATCCCTACGGCCGAGGACACGCATGCCGCCCTTGATAGGCTTGCCTAAAGCCAGAGCGGCGAGAGAAGCGAGGATAAGACCAGCGGCAACCATGTTGACCGAAGGGGAGGACTGGAAGTAGAAGGACCGGGACCGGACGCTCTGCGTGACGAGAAAGAGAGGACGCGCGTTGTATAGCGGCCAGCGCAGAGGAAAGGAATGTACGAGGAGGTGGGGAATGGAGAGGAGGACGCGGACGCGAGCTCTGCAGATAAATGCGCGGACCGGTCACGCTCAGATCACCACGGCGCGTTGTCCGAAAGACCGTTGCGAGGCTGTCGGCTAGGCGGCAACCATCGAGGCATTCGGGAGATCCCATTCTGCTGGAAACGCAGATGGCTGGGCGGACTCTGTGGTCCCGGAGTCGGAGGCTGCGTGGAGGACAGGCAATCTGATTTGCCACCCAACGTACCTACAGGCCGTCGGCATCTCTGTCAGTGTCAAGTGGCCCTACGGCGACGGCATCATACTCAAGCATCCCGGTCTGATGAGCCTGCAAGTAACGTTCTTCATGGCGACGAATCCAGTTGCAGAAGTCGTGGGACGCGGGGGACAGAGGACAGAAGGCGTGGAGGAGTTGACAGAAGTGTCAACAACGCCCACAAGGAGCCACCGCGTGGCGTCGATCGCGCACATATGGGTACCGCATTCGGTAACCATCCATCAAAGTCACCGGAGCGACCATCCATCTCCCGCACTCCGCTGACACCGTTGTACTTGCCACAAACCACTCGCAGTGACCGCTCGTGGGCGACGTGCAAGTCCACCACACGCCCGGCAGCGTCAATTCGAGTTCGGCATGCCAAGGCACGCAAGCTCGGCCCAAGACCTTGTCCAAGCCTGACCGCCCTGCTGCGCAGCACCAGTGCACTGCGTGTATGCGCACACAAGCGTCGTCCGAATGAGTTCACCATAGGTTCGTATGCGTTATGCTCCGCCTACCTAAATACCGCGGGCAAGACCTCAGGCTCAGTCAACATACGTTCAGCACATGTCCATTCAATATCATACTGACATTGATGCAAATTCACATACGAACGATCATACGCAATATTGACCAGATTCTTTGGTCGCCAACAACATGGAGCATTCATGGATGGCTTGTCGGAATCTGGGATGAGGCTACACAGCCCAACAGCAATGGGTGTTGTACACGTCGTGATACAGGAAAACTGCTTGGATACTGGGGAACCCGCGCTCACGAGTGCGTCCAGGTAGGCTTGCGCTTCTCCGCGAAAGCCGACATGCCTGTACGCGATCGCCATGAGCACAAGACGACCACATGAAACACGGCGTGCACTCACCCTCCTTCTGATCATTCGTCGCGAAGAGCCCGTGGAAGATACGGCGCTCGTACCGGAGGCCCTCGCTGAGCGTGGTCTCGTACGCGACGTTCACGACCTCCTTGCCCGCCTGCACGGCGACCGCGCTCTTCGACGCGATCGTGGACGCGACGGAGATGGCTCCTCGAGGACGTTCTCGGACACGCGCGAGATGAGGCCCCAGTCGGCTGCCTCCGCCGCCGTGAATCTGCGCCCCGTGAGGGTGAGCTCCATCGTGCGCGACTTGCCGATCGCGCGCGCGAGACGCTAGCGGATGCGCATGAGTGCTGTGTATGGTTGTGGATAGGGGCGGAGCTGTTACTTACCTGGGTGCCGCCGCCGCCGGGGACGACGCCGATGTTGATCTCGGCTGACCAAAGACGGCGGAGGGCGAGGCGAGGATGATGTCGCACATCATCGCGAGCTCGCAGCCACCGCCGAGCTGCACAGAAAGGGTGGTTGAGGTCGGATAGAGGGGTGAGAGACATGGGACGCACTGCGTAGCCGCTGACCGCCGCGATGATGGGCTTGCGGATCTGCGTCAACAGCGACCAGCTCTCGAGGAACTTGTTCTTGAAGACGTCAGAGTCTGTCTGTGCGTTAGCGGTACACCGTCGAGGCCAGAACGCATCACGTACACTGCTTGTCCTTCATCTCCTTGATGTCCGCGCCCGCTTTCGACCGTCAAGCCCCGGTCAGCGTGCACCCGCGCCACGGCAGCGACTCGGACGCACCCGCGAATGCGCGTTCGCTCCCCGTGAGGACCAGCGCCCGCACATCGTCGTCCCTGTCGAGCGCAGCCACCGCGTCGTTCAGCTCGACGAAGAGGGGCGTGGAGAGGGCGTTGAGCGCCTTCGGGCGGTTCAGCGTGATCAGCGCGACGCCCGCCGCCGGGCGGGAGGTGAGGATGTGCTCGTACTGCGCGCTCGTCGACATCGTGCGCAGACGGAGAGAGCCAGCGTGGGTGCGCGTTGGGACCAGGCGGTATGCTAGGAAGAGACGGGACATGGTGATGCGCCGGTGTAGGTCACGGTAGGTTAAGTTTAAGTTCGATGTTAGCGCGGGGCCCGCTCGCCGGGCTTAAGTACTGTGCGCATGATCTCACCTCTGTACAGTGTCATGCATATACGACTCGCTCCCAAGCATTCCGGTTACAGCCAATCCGGAGTCCCGGTGTCATGAGCATGGGACCTGCGGTATGTATGTGGAGTATGCTACTAATGATACCACCAGACCGTCTTCCTCCGGTCCGGTCTGATCTGGCTACGAATTGAATATGTACTGTCGAGTATCGGACTAAAGTACCATTGGTTACAGTCGACTCGCCCGGGGATCGACATGAGAGATCATGTACTGCATAGAACGTAGTCTCTTGAGTTACGCTGAGACGATGGCCCGTGGTGGGGCCGCAGCAGTCATCTACAAACTGTATTGTTCATATGAAGGGTTGGGCGAGGCCGCTAATGGCTTCGCGACCTGGAAGCATTGACAGCGAGAGACTCACTGGACATTACATTACGCACCCGGCAAGCATACATCCGAACCACTGCCCGCTCACCCCCCAAGGTGCTTAGTGATGTCACAACTTGTCTTCTCCACTCCGGGCTTAGTCAAGATCGCCCAAATGGCATCGGCGAGCCCTCGGGGCTGCGTCTGTACGATCTGCGGGACGCTGTAAGTCACCCCGCTCGCGTGGGAAGAAACGGACGAGCGACGTACGAGGTGGCCTGCTCCGGGGACGCGCCGTGCGGATGCCTGCTTGTTCTGCAACCGTCCGAAGCAGTCCATCTTTGATCTGACTGGGGCTGCCGACGACGTAGCGGCCCTGTCTAGGTAACTGTATGCGACCTGGGTGGTAGCGTACGTACATGTAGTCGTCGATGGCACCGAAGACGACGTGTACGGGCCGCGCAGCACACAGCGTCGGCAGATAATTGAAGGCACGCACGCGCCCTGTGTTGCTGTGGTCGCGGTAGCAGGCCTATATGGATCGCAGTAAGCCGAGCATTCGTCATGTAGCCAGCCAGATCACTCACGCCTCCTGTGCCTTGTGCATTCAGGGTCACGCCCGCGGTCTTGTCTGGGTAGCAGCCGTCGGGAGGTCGCGCAGCCCGTGGTCCTTGGACATTCTGAGCATCCCTCGCGTGCACCGTGACTTGAGTACGTACGACGAATGAGCGGAGTACTCGGGATCCCAGACCCGGAATCCCGCGCGCGACTGCAACCAGAGAGGGCTTCCTCGCGCGAGGCGAAGATGTCGCGACGCTTCTCGGCGCCGGTGGTCAGGAGGGTCGAGAAGCTGGGAGGCATGGATCCTTGGGGAAGCACATCGGCTCGGCGAAGATGAAGGACTCGAAGCTGAGTTTCGGGAAGAAGGTGTTTGCGATGATCCTGGGTTGTTCGTTGGACTAGGTAGGCAACGTCATTGACGGGTCGTGAACACGTACAGTGCTATGCATCCCATCGAATGGCCGATACCGACGAGCTTGCGCTTACTGAAATCGACATCTACGCCGCGGCCCAAGCCGCTGAGGAAGATGTGCACAGCGCGCGCGTACTCTTCCCAGCTGACTGAAGTGCTATCATGAGTAAAGATACTTCGATTCGTGAACACGTACATTATCGTATCCCCACAGAAGCGTATGCTCGTTCAAGACGGCGGAGTCGCCGTGATTTGGACAGTCAATTGCCCAGACATCGCGTATCTTCACTGGACTGGCTTCACCCGCCCGACTCGGAGCGAGGCTCTCGAAGAGATGCTCGAGGGTGGGCTCCCACTGCTCCTTGTGATATCCTGTTCCGTGGGTCAATATCAATGTCAGTGCGTCTGGATCTTCGCATGTGTATCCAGGCAATGAATATCGCTTCGCCGTGACGAGCAGAGGGTAGTCTGGGCGAGGATCGCACACAAAAGCCTGAGAGCTTAGAGGCAGCATTTCTCGTGGATGGTGGTCAGATTTCGAGAGGGAGAGAGGATTCTTGCCTGTGATATATGTTGCTACTAGCTCTCCACTGTACGCTATCCGGCGGACTGTCCTGCTGAGTGGTCTGCTCCGGGCATGGTATCCGGATGCCCGTCCGCCCGATGAGATCTGGTGGCAGAGATTGCATCTCGCGCAAAGCCCCTGGCCTGCGTTCATCTCCTCCCGACTCTCCACCCCAAACGCACCGTCGCACGCCTGCTTTCTCTGCTCAACAGCCCAACGGCAAGATGACAACACTACCGCCTGGCACAGCGCCCATCAAAGCCGAGTTCGTAGGCGTGCAGTACATTCGTGGAAGCAAACGACTAACCTCGCAGGTTGTCTTCGCCAGATTCCTCATCTCGGCCGCAACTCAGTCACTTCCAGACGATGACGCTGCGGAAGGAAGCACAAGTCACGTAAATGGCCGCAAAGACAGCGAGGCTACGCAAGACGCAGAGCGTGGCACGGCCCTCTCGGGCGCCCAGCGCAAGAAACGTTCCAAGGAGGAGAAGAAGAAACATCGCGGGCGAACAAGGCCGACGCTTTGCGCGCATCCAAGAGAGGTGGAGCTTGTTGGAAGTTCGCGACGGGAAAGACGTGCGAGTTTGGTACCGAGTGCGTATGCCCATTCTCTGTGCGTCTGCGTGATCTTGACGGTCCCAGATGTCGTTTCACGCACGACGTGCCGGCATACCTCACCGCCAAGCCGAGGGACATCCACTTCCCTTCTCAGGAAGACCTTCTGAACGTGCCTCCGTACATCCGAAGCCGCGCGTCGCCGGAGATTGAGATGTCTGAGAGCCACAACTCGTCCATCGACTTCTCCACGAAGTGTCCGGCGTTCGAGCGTACGGGTGAATGCCGGCATGGTCTGAAGTGTAGGTTCCTTGGCGGACACGCTAAGCAAGGAGATGGGACGCCGTCGAGCTTATTGCGGACGACGACAAGAGAGCACTTGCGGCCGGCGCCGAGCAGGAGCTCAACTTCATTGACGGACCTACGCTGAAGATGATCAGAACCAAGAAATACCCGCACCCGATTTCTGACGCGTATCTCAAGGAGCTACAGGCTGCCGGAGAAGAGGGTAAAGCGGATGTCGAAAAACAAGATGGACCCTCCGCGGCCGCTTCTAACGAGGTGAAAACCGACGCAACAGCTACCGGTGGGCAGACCAGCTCAGAAGATCAGTCCCAGAACGACACTCCGGACGTGCCTCTTCGCTTCAACGAGAAGAAAAGGTTACACTGGACAGGGAAAACATGTGAGTACCGATGCGTCAAACCGTCCGTCCTGATCACGGACGGACGCCTCCGGCCCGCCCGCAGATCTCGCTCCTCTCACGACGGTCGGAAACTTGGTACGTTCTGCGTCCGGTAAGACTGACTGAATTGCTCACGTCGTTCCAGCCTTTCCGCAGGGTCTGCGTCGACTACGGTGCCGACATCACCTGCGGTGAAAGTGCGTACACTGTCCTTTGAGGCGTTCGTATTGACTGATACTGTTTTTGTAGTGGGCCTTGCAATGTCTTTCCTGTCAGGCTCGAAGGAAGAATGGTCGCTTGTCCGTAGGCATCCGTCCGAGTCTATCTTCGGCATGCAGATCGCGGGAAGCAAGCCGTCCCTGCTCGTCCCCGCCGCTGAGATCATCGGCCGCGAATGCGCTGGCAACCTCGACTTCGTCGATATCAACTGTGGCTGCCCGATCGACCTGGTGTACAAGACTGGCAGCGGTTCCGCTCGTATGTCGTTCCCCAGAAATATTGATTGCAGGACGGCAAGTCGCTGACCTTTCAATCAGTACTCGACGCTGCTGGCAAGTTAGGCAAAATCATCGTTGGGGTGAACAAGGCACTCGGAGACATACCCGTCACCGTCAAGCTCCGCTCAGGTGTCAAGGACGGGCGAAACACGGCACATAAACTCATGCCGCGTCTAGGCCGTGAGTTCGGCGCATCTGCGATCACGGTAGGGAATCTCTCGTCGTGACTTGTATGGCCGCCCATGACAGTGACCCACAGCTGCATGGCCGAACGCGGCAACAACGCTACGCCAAGCTCGCCGACTGGGACTACATCAAACAGTGCGTCGAAGCCGTGCGCGAGAGGGAACAGGAAGAGGACCGTATGTCGTTTGTTTATCTCCAGCTGATTTGATCTGACTGAACTCCGCTTCACAGTTGCTCCCGTACCGATCTTCGGCGGTGGAGACTGCTTCTCTTCGCAAGACTACTGGGAGAAGATGGATGGGACCGGCGTTGATGGCATTATGATTGGGCGTGGCGCACTCATCAAGCCGTGGATATTCACGGAAGTCAAGGAGAGAAGGGAGTGGGACATCAGCTCTCGAGAGCGACTAGAGCTCATCCGGAAAGTCAGTCATCCATTGTGACTCTTGTATGGCATGGCTCACCGATCGTACTCGCAGTATGCCGAGTACGGCCTCAAGTAAGTGTATTCCTATATCACAAGCTTCTCGTATAGTATCTGACATCGGAACAGTCACTTTGGAACAGACACGGCCGGGGTAAACACCACTCGGCGATACCTCTGCGAGGCACTCTCCTTTCAGTACCGCTACATCCCCATTGGCCTTCTTGAAACGCTCCCGGGACACATCAATGACCGTGCTCCGGCGTTCCGCGGGCGCGATGACCTCGGTAACGCACCTTCTGTTTATTGACATAAGTGCGGCAACTGATGTTTTGGCATCATTGGCATCATGTAGAGACATTGCTGGCAAGTCCGGATAGCCGTGACTGGGTTAAGATCTCGGAGATGTTCCTCGGTCCTGCACCAGAAACATGGACGTTCACGCCAAAACATAAGAGCAATGCTTATGGAGGTGAGGAGAGTCAGGGTTAAGGGAAATAAACCAAATATGACCTTGTATGGTTCATCTGACTGAGGGATGATTGTAACATCTTGTATTGGTATGCCCTCACATGTTTTTCAGTGGTCTCTATGGAACTGATAGTGAGTTATTGGGTGCAACAGAAGCCATTCTTCATGTTCAAATTATAATATGATGTAGCCATATACAACTCATGGAGGTGAAGACCAGTCAATCATGACCTTATTTGAGACACAAGTTAAGTAATCATCATTGTCATCTAGAAGGGTATGTGACCTACAACACTGCATTGCTGTGGTTTCAATAATCATGCAGAATGTGTTTTGGGCACTGAGGAGAGTGCTAAAACCCATATAGATGAGATCAACTGTGACTGAGGCTGTTATCAACCTCTTGCTGTATACTGTGAAAGATAGAGGGTTCTCATTGTCTCCTCTTTCAATGCCAACAATGCCAACAATAACTTCTAGGAGGACTCTCACACAATGTTTCTGACATGCAGAAGGAATATGTCATGGTCCATGCCATGAGGTTCTGTTTCTCTAATATATGGTATTCCATGTCTCTGAACTCCAGGCTTATTGTATTGCCTTCTCCATTCCTTGATCCATCTAGCAATGAATGTACCACATGGTCTCCATTCTTGAAGGACACTACTATCTTATTTGCCTTTGGAGTTATTAAAATTACAAGTATCTGTTATTGTGTTTTGTCTCTGTGACTGTGCCTCATTGTACCCTCAAAATTAGCTTGGCTGTGTATAACTCTGGACTTGAGTAATATGACTTGCCCATATCAAGATTCAGAAAACATAGAAACACACATGCCTGTGGAGACATGATTGTATGTCATTTGACTGCAACACACTGCCTGAACTCTAACCAAATATAATTGAGATAGTTAACTCAACTGATAGCCCTTCTTTCAGAGTGTCTATCATATAATTGAGACCCAGAATGAATAGCAAAATTCAAAATTTGGAACTCACAAGCGACTATGCAACTATAAAAGGGGTTTTGACTCTGAAACACATTGAATATGACCTGTATAGCTATGTGCATAGTTTACAATGCATGGATATGTCTGGAACTGGCATAGCATTACTATTAATGGGAAAAGATGATGACAACATGATGTCTCAGGGGTAAATGACCAGATTGGGTGGCTATTTTGGTTCACAGGGTAAACAGTTCATACTGATATGACATCTGCAGTACACACAACAACCTCAATGATCAAACTGTGGTTGACTCCGAAGTCAAGATGCTCAACATGATGGATGACACAGCCTCTGCGGAGCTCAGGAAAATGCATAAAATCTGTGAAATATATAGAAACATCAAAGACGAGTGTATGATTGTTTTGAGCTGCAATGGTCACCATTACATTGCACACAAGGGCCATATTATGGCAAAAGATGCTCAGATTACCCATTATAGTCCTTGTTACCTGTATTATAGAGTGGTCTGTGTGTAAGTAAATTGGCAGAGTATCAGTACTCTGAGGAAGATGGTGGTGGTTCTGGGTCAAGATGCAACTGCTCCAGGATAGGCAGGCACCTGCCTTATATACCCTGGAGTGTGGGAATTTCAGACAATACAACTATGAGCACAAAGGGAATCTACCTATTGTATCCAAATTGGTCCATCAAAGAACAATGTACCTGCTGACTATTAATGAGAAACAAAAGGAAAGTATTGTCTCAATTTGCCTGTTGTCCTATTGTTGCATGTTCATTCCCAAATTAGTCAGATCAATCACATTCTAGGCCATTGTCTGTTTCAGAAAGCAAGAAAACAAGATAGCAACAGAGCAAACAAGAGCACAAAAACATTCGATCTACACACAAGATCACCCATCCCAATCCTTACAGTGTCTAAACCACACATACATTACAGTGTACACGTAGGCCATATTTGAGTTATGAACACACACTTTGAATTGGCAGAGGCACATATGCATTTTTTTGTTTTGCATTTCCTGGGTTAGCCAGACACTGTATGCACTCAATAGAAGTTCTGTATACTCTCTGAATGAAGGGCTATCATGGCCCTCATATCCATAACAGAGCACTTAACCACTGCATTTGTTTGTATCTGTTGGTGCAAGTCACGTCGTCTGGGAGTTTGAAATTTGAGACTCAGATAAGCAGCCCATACTAACCGTTCCTTATCTCTGCTTATTGGGTGGCTGCAAGTCACGTGCACTGTGGGAACAAACTGCCATTCCAGAGGAATCACTAAGGCATTTCATGGCGGTCCATCATAAGAACAATACCTTTGTACCTCAGGGATCGTAATAGTTTCCAATACAGTGATGTTCCTGGAACATGCACAGCAGTGCTATGAATGGAGAAATATTGTCATAACAAGCATGTGTCAATGTCCAAGCACAGATTGACTATATAGGGCAATCTTCTCTATTTGTGAATATGCTCAGAGATGCTCCACAGATGTCCTGGAATATTATCTGATTTTCCTGCACTCTTCTGAGCCCAACACAAGTCAGTTTTGCTGCAGTAACAGGCTGGAATTCTGGCCTGTTGAAAAATGTGGTCATTCAAAAGGGATTCTGGAGCACTCCCATTGGCTGAAATGCTGACAAATATTCCCTTTTGAAGTAATCTTTCAATCTCAGCTCTTCATGCCAGTTTTTTTTGGTGGCTTCAAGCAGCACTAACCGAGAGCCCCATTAAATGTGGAAACATGCCCCTTGTATACTGACAGGGGTGCCCACATTAGGTGTTCTTGTTGTTTTTCACAGAGTACTGACCTTGATAAGTGATACTGGGCAATATAAGCAAATCTTGGTGTGTATATGATGCTTCTACTAGACAGTTCCACATGTATGAGAAGTGATGTCATTCAAATGGGATTAATATTAAATTACTAATGTATTTTAGATCAACTTAATCCCCATACACTTTGAACCTGATCCTGTGCTTTAGCTATTGCTTAGCCAATGGATTAGCCAAGTAGGATCAGTAGAGCTAATCCACACATGTTAAGCCATGGATTAGCCATAGTTAATCCATATCTAATCCCATTGTGATCCATTGTTAAGACTTGCTGAGATGCTGCTTAGCCATTGGATTACCCATGGCTAAGTAATATCTGATCCATGTCTTAACCATATATTAGCCATGCTTTGCTATGACTTAGGAAAGCAATTAACAGGTAAATTAGGCTGAAAAAAGTGGGTAGACTTTCAATCTGATCCACTGCTAGGCCACTGCTTAGCCACTGGATTAGCTTTGAGAAGATCAACATTAAAAGGGTATGGGGTTTAAGTTAATCTAAAATACATTAGTGATTCAATATCAATCCCATTTAAATGCAGAAGACAATGAGAGGCTCTGTGAAGTGGAGGATATCAAACATACAGTACTGCCATATATGGTCAGTCCCTGCCCATTTGGGAAGTTGGCCATGGATAGCCTCTGCAGTACCAGATAAATAGCAGGAAAATCAGAGAAAAGTCGGATAGCACCATGGATTCATATTGGGTTGATTATTGAGGCTCCCACATGGCAGGAAATATATGAAAATGCAGAGTTTCCCATGCCTACCTGATACAAGCCACTTTTTCAGTGAGTAGTATCCTTCAAGGGAAATGCATGTCCTTGGTCCATCTTGTAAGCACCAGTATCACCTGGAATTCACAAGGACTGGCAACTCCAGACAGGATCCTAGGCTATTCTGTTTAGTTCAACTGTTCAATAGGCCCTGAAAAGGCAGGCTGCCAAGCTGGTGGGGCAGCGGCAGCGGCGAGAAGGCCAACAAGGGCAAGGGCAAGCAGCGCGGTAAACACAGCGGCAAGAAGACCCGTGCCCAGAAGGACGGCGGCGGCCACAGCCACGGCCATGACCACGCTCACATCGCCTCGCAGGCATCTGTGGCTGGTCCCTCTATGTCCCACGTTGTGGACATCGCGCCTTCGGGCAGCAAAGTCCGCACCGTTGAAACACGTGCGCCTGTGCAGAAGCGCCCCATGCGCAACTGCCAGCGATGGCTGCAACGCGCCCTCAAGTTGGCCGAAGAGGTTGACGTGTCCCCTACGGTCGAGCACCTCAAAACACTCACTCAGGTCGTCGACAACTCTGCGCAGATTGAGGAGTACTTCTCTGATGCAGAGTCGCGTACATCCAAGCGCCCTCGTCTCTCTGATGACGACATGGCCGAGAGGATCAATGAGGTAAACACGGGTTACAACTCGTACGACGACGGCACCTGGGCTGAAACCCAGGAACCCCTTGACTGGGGGTCGGACAACGAGGACGTCGGCGAGAACGTCGACGAGGACATCGCGATGGCCGCCGGGCTTGATCTGGACGAGGACGCCAGGTCAGTACCCTCATCATCTTCACATTCCCAGCGACACACTGACAATGCGCTACCCACAGCCGCATGTAGTGTAGCATCTATGTCACATACAACGAACGAATGTATCGGTAATTCGTTGTACAAATATATACATTGTCGTCACGCGCGAGAATTTGCTGCGTGTTCAAAATGTAAGGGAAAATGTAAGATTGAGAACATCCTAGAGGGTGGCAATGAAGCCTACCCTGATGGAGACCCAACTTGGATGTTGGACTCTGGTGCTTCAATGCACTTTACCAACCGGATGAGTGACTTTGCTGAAGTTGTGGATCTCAGTGAACCCATCCTGGTACAGACCGCGAATGGCACGGCCCGCTGCACAAAGCGCGGGACCGTCTTCATCAACTTCTTAGGTGGGGACGGTGAGATGATAACAACTCGTCTGTATCCCGTCTATTATTTCCAAGGTCTGCATCAACGGTTGTTGTCTATGGGGACTTTCCTCAAAGAAGGCATGACTGTGTGCGGTGGTTCACAGCACATCGACCTCTATGAGCCGGGATCACGGGATCCACTATATGTGTTTAAACCGCTGAACCCAGGTGGCTCTATCTTTGGGATTTATGCTGCGTCTTCTGGGGAAGATGCGCAAAGTATCCATAATACGGTCTACACAGTAGACTATGAAACCATGCACCACCGTTTTGGGCATCCCTCAAAGGATGTTCTTCGGAAGGCTGAAAAACACACCGACGGTTTCCCTCTCAGAGTTGAGTTCCCTACGGAGGATCCTGTGTGCCCTGGATGCGCAGAAGGGAAAATGCCCAACAAGGCTTTCCCGC